CAGGCGCTGTCTGCACAGACGTTTCCACCCTGTTTGTCGTCAGCGTGTTTTACAAGCCCTCGGGAAGGTTGTGGGATTTGTCCTTTCATCCATTGCATAATCTGCCCACGGCCAAGTGTTGGCAAGGCTCGCGGGCTGATGTGGGAATGTGTGTGCACGGGTTTGGTCATTTTAGCGCGGCGTTGGAGAGGAGAGCGTCCTTTACCCCTGCAGTACGTCCCAGATAAACACGTTTGAAAACGACCCTCCGAAACCTAAAAGGAAGACTTGCTCGGTCGGATTCTGATCTCGGGGACTCCTGGGGTTCGCCTCTTTCATGCTCTGAGCTGTTATTTTTAAATCTAGGACGAGCCATTGTGACGTCTGCCTCCCCACCTTCCCGATGCGCGCATTCCTCTCGCTCAGCCCTTTTCTCACCTTATTGTCATTGCCTTGCAGACACAAGGCAGATCACAGGCTGGTTTCCTGGAAATGTTGCATTATGTAACTGCCGAATTTCCTGGCAGTGAGCATAGAAAGAGGGAGCTAATTACGTGATTTTATAATTTGCTACAAAGAAAGTGGGACCGACTCGGCGTTTAAGAATGCCGCTATCACGGGTGTTTTTTGTTTGTTTGCTTGCTTGCTTAAGGATATTTTAAACAGGAAAGTAGACCAGCGGGTGAGCATTGAGTCTGCTCACGCTGTCGAGTGTGGTTTTTGCCCTAAATGAAATGCGCGTTCTTCTAAATTTAGCCCTATCACATTTTAACAATCGTGGCCCTGGCCGTGCTATTTCTGGTGTTTTCTCCAGAGCTGTGTGCACATACAAGTTCAAGGCCATTTGCTGTAGTTTTAACTCCACGCCTTCCGAGACCTTTGATAAGATTGTATTTTTAGGAAGGCGTTTCGCAGCGCCGGCTGATTTGCTCGATGCTAACTCCCATTTATCTTTTTAAAGGACGTTCTAGGAAACTGCTGTTTCTCTGAGGGAAGCAGGGAAGGGCCAAGTGTCGTTTTCTGTTCTTGGCTTTTGTAAATAACAGCGAACGAGGTCAGAAGTATTTCTTTCACATCTTATCTCCCCCCCCACCCCCCAGACCAGATAGGTTTCTGGGAAGCAAATATAGGTTAGTAGATCGTACTTGTGTCTGAATACGCTCGTGTTATTCACAGGAGGGTGTATGCCTATATAATCCGGCCAGATGTCTCGTTTCCTCCTGGACTTTGACGTAGTGTAGTTACGTATGAATGAATGTGTGTGGTGGTGCGCTTATGGGTAGATTTCGGTAACGTAACGTGTAAGTCACTCAGGTGCAGGTTTGTGTTGGGGGCTTGGGGACCTTTGCTAGATCCACCGGAGCAGTCTGTTACCCCCTAAGTGCGGGGTGGTCCCTTTCCGAGAAGCGATCTTGCCGACGACCCCCGGCTTCAGACCCCGACCTACTTTGCAAGCTCGATGGGAGCCCTTGGCCTGTTGGGGTCGCCTGACGCCACCTTTCGATGGCGACCCCCAGTGGCGCGTCCGTGCTGTCCGCGGGACCTTTGCTAGATCCACCGGAGCAGTCTGTTACCCCCTAAGTGCGGGGTGGTCCCTTTCCGAGAAGCGATCTTGCCGACGACCCCCGGCTTCAGACCCCGACCTACTTTGCAAGCTCGATGGGAGCCCTTGGCCTGTTGGGGTCGCCTGACGCCACCTTTCGATGGCGACCCCCAGTGGCGCGTCCGTGCTGTCCGCGGCGCGCCCCTCCCTCCTGCGGCTGGAGGGGTCTGCGGGAAGCCGAGGCTGGGGGGGGAGGGGGGGGGGCGGGGGGGGCTTTGGGGGG